GGCCAACCTGCTCCACCGCTCCGGATCGTTGTGAAAGGAATTTTTACAAACGGGAGGAGAAACAAAAAGAAAAACCGATCCTGATCCGAAGCGAACCACTTTTATCGTACAACCATCTACTACACGAAGGTGTGATGCGAGAGGTGGAGGGTGTACATCTCCGAGGGGGCCCTCGGCGGGGAGGGGGGGCAGAGGAGATATAAGAGCATATCATATGAAAACTGGTGGCTCGCCTGTCCATGGCCTTGAGCAACATTCCCATCCTTTTACGAACACATTTTATTGATTTTGATCGTATGAAAAAGGGAAAGAGCGCTGAGGTGGGACGGGTGGAGACATCGAGACAGGTAGGAGAAAGAGCGAGGAGGCGAGCAATAATGAATGGTAGACAAGGGTCGTAAGGGTAGAAGTGGATGGGACCAGAGAGAAGAAACCGACGAGGAATGTGCGCAGAAAACCCTGCGCAGTTCCAACGACGTCTTTAGAATCGCCGAGTATTTGTGTCCGTTCGCCGACGAGTCTTGATTATTCGCGGCGATTAGGATTGGAGATAATCAGAAATTAAGGAACACCGACTTGAAAATTGAACCAAAATGACTTCAACCTTAGAAAATCACAATTAAAGCGATAGCAGAGTGTCTACTAAAACAGGCTGGCCAAAAATCAGTACGTTTAAAGCACTTTTTCAGTATGTTCCCAAGAAATTTAGTACCTCCTAAACAGACCAATTCAGTACTTTTTTCAGTGCCTCCTATAGACGAAATCCGGAAGATCTCAATAAGTTGAATTTCTCGCTCAAATTGCGACATTTAAAAAATTCCGGACCTCCTTGCGGAAATTCCGCACTTTTTCAGTACTTCCGGACAGCTTTTAAAAAATCAATGTTATTTCCGGACTTTCCGGAAATTCCGAACTTGCAGACACCCTGCATTGTGAATTGTCTTTGTGCTCTAACAAAAATTTCCTGAATTTTCGATGCGCAAATAAATCCATCATCAATAAATAAATAAGTAGAAAAAAACAAAGTCATCCAGTTAAACTCCAAAACGTTGAAATGCAATCGAGGGGCTTGGCGCACAAGGCGAATAAGTGCAGTTTTTGCCATTTCGAGAAATACGTGTTTGAAGTTAAGAAATTACATGAATCCTTATAGCGGAAAGAGAGCTCTAACTGACTTTTTGATGCTTAAACATTGGAATTTGGGAGCGAATTTTTCTCAAAATATGCATCCAGAATGATTTTACTTGAAATCATCAATCCTTCCATTTTTTTTTTTTTTTTTTTTTTTTTTTTTTTTTTTTTTTTTTTAAAAAAAGCACTTATGCGCCTTGTCCTCGCAAGCCCCTTATTTATACTCGTCTGGATCTCACCCTTTAAGCATTGTCTCTGTTATCTAATCCTATGACCCACGTTGTAGCCGGGATAACGGGTAGAGGCAGAGATGAGAATGAGCTGTCGGAGGTCCCCGGTCCCAGGCCCGTGTTTGGGGGGCGCTGGCGCACCTGTTAAGAAACCGAGGCCGGTGAACGAGGCTGACCCTCTTCAAAATCAGGGCGTTGAGGCGCCAACCACTCAGCAGGGGGCGCCACCGGATAAAAACCGCTCAACTCTAACGGACACCGCGTGAACATGCGCG